CATTTTTGTTCTCCTTGTGATTGGCAGTGAGCTACCTTTGCTAGTTCTTTTACTAATTTTAGGTAGTTATTGTCTTCTGTTTGCTGGCTTAAGTTTTTCATTTTTTGATAAGCAATTGGATATATAGAGCCCTAGGGGGTACTCGAACCCAAAGAACAAAAGTCAAGACATATTAAGATACATCAAAGGAGCTTTGCTCCAATCATAAAATTAGATCAACCACTAGAATTCAAACCTAATATATGCCAAGACCAAGCAGCCACTTTGATGTTATTAATCACATCTCCAACAACAACAACACGAAAATCTCCTCTAAATAGAATATTGTTTCTCATTTTCCATATGCCCCAACAAGATGCTAACCAAATAACAACAGCCTTTTTTGGGGGGCACACTCCCTTTGAGTAGATTTAAGAACCATTTTAAGTGATTTATCCCTGCCAAAGATTCATTGCCACCCTTTCCAAGCCACACCACTATACTGTCCCAGATTTGGATGGAGAATGGGCACCGGAAAAATAAATGATTGATATCTTCGTCAGCTCTAAAACATAAAACACACACCTTCCTATTAGCATCTTAACAAACACCTCTCAGCGCCAACTGATCCTGCATTGGCAGCCTGTTAAGGAAAAAGCGCCAACCAAAAGCATGAGTTTTTTACGGCACTTTGATGGACCAAATACGATGCAGAGTCCAGCAAGAATTCTGATCTAGCCCCATGCCAGAATTCGGACCTGTCAAGAGAGAATAACCTGACCGTACAGTATAAATGCCATCAGGCCCATGATTCCAAACAAATCTGTCCAAAGCATTAAACTGGACCGACATCTTGCAGAACTAAACAGAGGGTTTCAATTTGAACCCTTGCAGCCACAGAAAAATTAGTACAGTGGATATGCAGATCCCAATTCCAGTTTCCGGCTACAGCAGCTCCCATATCCCTCACCATGCCCCACTTCTTAGATGACAGTTCGAATGCTAAGGGAAAAACACACATAAGCGATTCTAGACCATTGATGTCTCCAGAACAGTATAGAATTGCCCGAACCGATTCTGCAAGAAATACAATCAGAAAATCAGTGCGATCCTTCCTCTTGTTTCTTGATAAGAGATTTGATATCCCTCACCAAAGGGAGTCTTTGATGGAAAATCTAGACTCCCCAACCTTTACCACTTGATTAACCAGATGATTGGAGCCGACTGGAATGCCTAGGAAATCGAAAGGGATAGAATCCAAACCACAGAAGAGAAACTGGGAAGCACTTTGCATGAAATCATCTGAAATGTTCAATCCATATAGCTTACTTTTAAAAAAATTTCACTAAGACCGGAGTCAAGCTCAAAAACCTCTAAGCAGAGCTTTGATGCCCCAGAGGTTATTCCAAGACCCATTGCCAACTAACCTGGAATAAAATTTAAACCCCCAAAATATAAAGTGTGGTGGCTCTTGCAAGAAATCAACTTACATTTAACTTAATGCAGGGAGTTCTAATAGAGAATATTATAGTACTGGTACATTTTGGTTTGTAAGTATGTGTTGTGAACTTGTTCTTCCGCGATAAATTAACTTGATCAAAAACATTATCACAATTGTTGTTTTTTATATTAGCTGTTATGTCTTATTATTTACCTTCCACATGCCTGTTTGTTTGACATGGTTGCCGTTATGCTGCCTCCCGTTGCCAGTGTTAATGTGCTTGTCAGTATAATCAGACTAACGTAGACATTTTTTTTGGCCTTGAGCATACACTTAATAGGATAATAACCATTTCATCAAGTTATCTAGCTCGACTACTTGGATTGACCTATGGTTTACCCAATAAACTTTTAGGGATCTGTATGTGCTGCAAGGCGTGCTGCTAGTTTTGTGCGAGGAGACGATGTCGTTCACAAGCTGTTTACAGAACTGGCTTATCGGTACAAGTGAGTATTAAGCTTGATGTAATTTCAATCACCAATTTATGACTGTTAATTGTGACACTGAACAGACATTATGTTGTGCAGGGATAGAGCTGGTGGGTACACCAGGTTGCTTCGGACTCGTATTCGAGTTGGTGATGCTGCTCCAATGGCCTATATTGAGTAAATCTCTGTTTATTTTCTGATAGTCACTAGTGTCAAACTGACTTTGTCGGTTCTGTTATTTTGGTATCCTATCTTGATTTCACTAAAGAAGTTATTTCTTTTCTTTGTTGTTGATATTGCATGTCTTTTTAATCTATTTGTTGTTATGGTCTATCCTTCAAATCTTTTAAGTTGCTTAGAAAATGGATATTAAGATTTGAACATCTTTTTCTAAAAAAAAACTATATGCTTTGAAACAGGTTCATTGATCGAGATAATGAGCTTAGACAATCAAAGCCACCAACTCCTCAACCTCCTCAGAGAGCAGCCCTTGATCCTTGGACACGATCCCGTCTCACAAGGCAGTTTGCTCCTCCCAAAGTGGAAAAATCTGATTCTGATCTCTGATTCATTCGAATGTATTGCAGAAACTATATGTTTTTGTCCCCATAGCTTGAGATATCTGAATTTTAGCTTTGCTTATTTTATAAATCTTCTCATTGCTTGCAATAATAAAAATAATTATCTTCCTACTACAGAGAAATGTTCTAGAATAAATCATTTCACTGAAACCGCAAACGATCAGGGAAACGAAAAATCTAAAAGCTCCATGTGTACATGATTACATGTTTACCGACACAAACTGACAATTATCGATGTAATTTCGTAACTGTTACAATGGTGAATGTGTAAACAAGACAGGTTAGGTCTGTTTACTTGCCATATGAATATACTATTTCAATAGAAAAAGGTGAAGAAAGAGAGCAAGGTTGCTTGATAAGGTTATGTATGTTCACAGGGATAGTCTAGTCTTGCTCTCTTTCTCACGTATGTATAATTGTGGGATAACATGTACCCTTCTTTTTGTTTCTACTCATCTGTAGATCAAGTTTCCAATGCTTTCTGTGTGGTCCACTACTCTAATGTCACAAAATTCAACCTTAGCCAAACAAAAAGCAAAACTAGAAAGCTCTAAATCTTCTTTACCATAATCCACAGACCTTTACCTTTTGAGTTGCTTTACTTGCAATACAGTATACATACTCTCTTACGTCTCCACACTCTCTTCATGTTAAAGAATTCTATATTCTATATAGACCTATTAAATGAATAGAAATGTTGTCTACAAATTAATTTGTGATGCAGAGAATAGTGAGACAAATTTATACAATGCTTAAAAAAAGGACAAAATTATACCAAAAAAAGGTGGTCAACAGGTGCAATGTTTCTATGTGATTGAATATAACTATTTTTTGGTTTTTATTAATTAACATGATTATTGCAGTTTTGACTGACTGTGTTAAGACCATGTATGTGTTTGGTGAAATAGTGTAAGAAAGGACATTTAAACAAATTTGAACAATTTGGGATGATTAACTATAATAATAATGGTCACATTGTATGTATTAAGAAAATAGAAGTGTGACATGTGTTATGTGTGTTGTTGTCTTGGCAGCTAATTAGGTGTTTGATGTTGCCGTCTAGTTTCTTCAAATGTAGATAAACTTCATTAGTATTAAGATTAAAAAAAATTAATTATTATCATGATAATGAAAATAATGTTTACCTAACTTGGATATTAAATCAAATAATTGTGGCATTTTTAAGATTAGAGAACATTAAAACCTGATCATTTATAGAAAAATTCATGATCAAATGCCAAAAGTCTGTATGTATAAAAAAATAGGTTTGGACATATCAAAGTAAAATCTTAAACAGTCCTTGTAAAAAATAGAAATAATTATGTTTTCCTATTTGACAAAGGATTGGGACATGTGGTCATCTTTACTCCAAATCCAATGAACAATTGTTTTCATTAACCTAATGTTTATCTAGTAACGACAACTCTCACCACAATAATGACAACTTTTTATTATTAAAAAGGGTGCTTTTTTTTGGACGGTTAAAAGGGAGGCTTCTATTTATATAATAACTTTGATTTATCCCGCATATATGTTATTGAGGTAAGGATTCTCTAATTTTTAGAAGGAAAAGTTAAAAGTAATTTTAAGTAAAATATAGATGAAATAAAGGTGTTAATGATGTTGATTTTGAAGGAGAAAAATGTGAGAGAAAGTGAATCAAGTGAGATAAAGAGAAAATTAGAAAAAAATATAGAAATAAAAGTTAGAGATCAAATTTCCACAATTGAAGAAGTAATCATTTTGAATACTTCGTAGTTTGTAGTACCCATATTGTTGGGGTAGGGAATTCTAAATTTTAATTACCATTTTTTTATTAAAAAATTGGAGAAGAAAAGAATTGAAAGATGTTGGATTTATTGGTGAGACCAAGCATATATATTATGTACTTTGCAAACTATTTACTTCCATAGCAATTAAAAGTACATAAGTGGTTCATATATTATAATGACATATTCCTTGAACTATAGTGGCTTGTCAACTAAAAAATAATAGATGATAACAAGATACTATAAAACAAAACAGATAAAAAGTATAGGAATAAAACAATTAAAATATTTCTAAAAAAAATAAAATAAAAAATAAAGTAGGTGACTACCCAAAAAGAATGGAGAAAGAAAATTGTGAAGGAAGTTACTTGGTGAGTCTGTCTATATTTTGACTCAAAAGCCCCAAACTATTTCATCAATTAATTTGTGTTTCTTTCTTCCATCATCATCTTCTTCACATTCCTCTTTTTTAAATTTTTTTTATCACTATCTGTGTTTTCTTCATAACAACAACAACAACAATATTGTAATCACACTTTGTCTTCTGAGGATTGTGTTGGAGCAGCATGTACTAAACCAAGTAAAACTTTTCTAGGAGTACTAAATTAGTTTTGAATATTTGATTCATTTTGTTAGTATATGTTTGTTTTGATTAATGCATTTAACTAATTAATGTTTTTTGTTGATGGCATTGAAATTGCATGGCCATTGTAGCTATAGCTTGGTGAATATGAGAGGAACAATGGGAACTTCTCCTCGTTCTGTTGAAACAAGACAACGATTACCAGCATCGATGTGAGTTCTTTAACTTCATAGTTTGTTTGTTCCCTAAAATTCTGCATCACTTTTTCTTTTTCTTTTATTGAGGTAATGTAATAACAGATTTCATTAAAAGTTTGATCATTCCGTCATTGTTATGGAGTTTTTTTTACTTAGAATAATATTAATAATCTCTATTTACTAGTATTTCATTAACTGACATAGTAAATAAAAATAAATAAAACTATTTCATCTTAGTATAACTTAGTTATCATTGTTTAATAGTAAAAGCCTACAAAAAATTGTTTTTTTTAATTGTTAATTTATGGATATCATTGTTTACAATAATACTGAAATATAAATAAATTTTACTGTCCGGCTCAAAAAAATTCTTTTAATAAATTTTACTGTTAAAAAAAATCAAATTTTAAATTATTAGTTACACTCCTTTAACTCAATTAATAGTTAAATTACTCACCTAAAAAAATATGTCTTCTTTAGCATCTGGATCAATAAGTTTAGTTATTATCTAAAACTGATTTTGATGTATATGAAGGTTATATTAAAGAATTTTAAGTCTTATTTACTTTTCAAAACATTTTTTATTTTTATTTAAATGTTTTTTTTTAATTTGTTAACAAAGAGATGGATTAATGGAAGACGTGTAGTGATAAATATAATAGATATACTTATTAGAGAAATTAACATGTCATTCTCCGTATTATATTATGCTATCTCCAAATTTCAGTATTTTTAAAATATTTCTTTTATTATTTACTTTAAATTTTATCTAAATTTTTTTACTATTGATAAAAGGAATAAATTTTGAAATTTTCAATATTCTTAATAAATTTTTGGCTTAAATGCAGTTTTGACCCCCCTAGTTTAAGGTTTTTGGAGTTTCGATCCCTTAGTTTAAAAGTCAGGTTTCTAGTCCCCATAGTTTTCAAATTTGGGATTTTTGAAGCCCCCTCCATCTGGCTGCCCAAAAAGTTTTCAAATTTGGGATTTTTGAAATCTCGTACGGGCGGATGGAAGAGGAAATTAGGTTAAGCAATTTGGGATTTTCAGAAAATATGAATTATGAAATTAAAAATTCATTTGGAAATTAATATCACTTATTTAAATGTTTAAAAAATATTATTCTAAATAAGAAATAAGAAAATAATACGTGGCATTACTCTCCCTGTGCCATGTCACATGGAGGGGGCTTCAAAAATCCCAAATTTGAAAACTTTTTGGGCAGTCAGATGGAGGGGGCTTCAAAAATCCCAAATTTGAAAACTATGGGGACTAGAAACCTGGCTTTTAAACTAGGGGATCGAAACTCCAAAAACCTTAAACTAGGGGAGTCAAAACTGCATTTAAGCCTAAATTTTTAATACCGATTTTTGTCACATATTGAAAATTCTTTACATTTTACAAATTTTTGATAACGATATATCAGAAATTTCAAAATTTTTAGTTGCAATTTATCAGAAATTTTAAAATTTCCCTAAAATTTTATAAAAATCTAAATTTAGCAAATTTCTGATGCAAAACCTTTACTAAAAATTTCAAATTTCTGGTATATTAGAAATTTAAGTTATTCTTAAAATTTTCGGTATGTTTACGGATGAAATTTTATAATGAATAAAAACATTGTAAAATTTTAAATTTTAGGTATTTTTTACGAGAAAAAATATCGAAAATTTAAAAATTTCAATACCAAAAATTTTAAATTACGATCAAATGACACGGTAAAAACTTAAAAATTTAACAGAATTTTTAATATTTATATCAAATTTTTAATACAAAATCGAAAATTTCAAAAATTCTGATATATTTTAAAAACAGTTCGATAAATATACCATGTTTAGAGTGACATGTGTAAAATAGAAAGTGGCAAGTTAATTTCTATAGAGTATAATTCTAAAGACTTTCTTGAAAAGTGTATTTTCAAAAATTATGAAATTCATGACATTTTCAAAATTTCTCAAGAAAAGTCCTATTTGTTTTCCAAAATTATATAAGAAAATTGGGATAAAAGTATTGAGTCTATTATCTATATTTTTTTATGCTTAATAAAGTGAAAAATAAAAACATAGTTAATTTCATATAAAGTTTATGCAGATTAATTTACTTATAATATGAAAGTACATTTTTTCACTTTATACGTGATGATTTGTCTGACTCTCCCATGAAAGATGACTTCCTTCACTTAGTGTGTGTTTGAAAATATCATTATCACGCTGAAAAAGTTCACTTCTACTAAAAAGCACTTCTACTAAAAGCTCAAACTAGTAGCTTCTTTATTTTCAGTGAGAACCAATTGCAGCGTGATTTCAATGAACCAAAAGTAATTCCAAATACACTTAGTATTTCACGCATTTGATATATAGTGGAATTAATCAATCAAGATCGAATGATTCATATTTAGAATTCATATAGAATAAAATAAATAAATATGTCTGATGTTTGAATGTGAAGAATTTTGAATATAGTAAATTCAATTTTCTAATCCAGCAACAAAATACCACTACCACATATGGATATTTTAAAAAGAATATTTGCTTAAAATATCTAAATATTATTTTAAAAAAATACCTACATTACATTTCACCTTATAGCTAAAGACGTCCCATCGTTTTTATTTTATTATCATTAGACTTGACGCCTTCAAAGCTGAAATTTTGCTCTTTTTTTTTTAAAGCTGCATTGTATTTTTCATAAAAATACAAATGAAAATATCATAATAATAATTTGGTAAATAGTATTAGGACAAGTTCTGGTTGAGTTAACAATATTCCAGGCATGCACCTAATAGGATTTGAAGTATACATTTGATAACGTTGTTGAATCCTTTTCAAACAACAGGAAGGAACATGCATTGCATACAGTCACAATTACGTGCCATCCGTATCATATACCTTTCCTCTTAAAACATTTCTTAATTTACATTCCAAGGAAGCTCAACAAGATAATATCAATACATCGCTCTCAATTATTCATAGCTTCTACCTAAATTCATATAACCAATGATCTACAATATTTAAGACAAGTGACATACATTTATCTGCAACTGTTTCTTGAATCTTTTTCTCTAGCTTATGTGTTCTAAAACTTGTTTCACTAATTATGAGTTACAGTGAAGATTTATACAAGAGAAGAGTGTCGAAAACTAAAACGAAAGATGTAGAGAAGCCTTTTCACTTATCTATACAAGATAGGAGCTCAAGGTGGAAGTTTTCTTTCTTAAAACTTATCTTATTGATAACCATTTCCGCCACTTTTGTAATGTTCCTCTACTCTCCGGATGTTTACAATACCAGCCATTTATCAGGATCTGGCACAAGGTACGTTTTACCACAAAAAAACTAATATACCTGAAAAATATATAGACCACATACATTGTGCATTCAATTAATCTAAAAAGTAATTTTTTTCTTATAAATAAGAAAGAAAAATTCACATCACTAACTAGTATATACCTGTTCTTTTCTTAGCATAGTGGTGTAATATCCGAGTATCTTTGCAATTTTGTGAACAGGTGGATATGGGGTGGCTCAGATCCTCGGTATGTTTCCAATGTAGATACCGATTGGGATGATATAGTGAAAATCACAGAAAAACTGACAGGAAAAAATGAATTTCAAGGCATTGGACTTGTAAATTTCAACAAGACTGAGATTTCCCACTGGAAGCATAATTTTCAAGATGCCACACATGTTGTTCTGCATCTGGAGCGTGCTGCAGACAATGTGACATGGGAGTCTCTATATCCAGAATGGATTGATGAAGAAGAAGAAACTGAAGTTCCCGTTTGCCCTTCTCTACCGAGTCTTGTATCTCCCAGGACAAAACTCAATGTCATTGCTGTCAAACTACCTTGTAGGAATGGAGGGAACTGGTCTAGAGACGTGGCTCGTTTGCACCTGCAGCTTGCAGCTGCTGGCCTTGCTACCTCTTTCAAAGGCAATTACCCGATTTATGTGCTCTTCATTACCGACTGTTTTCCGATACCAAATCTGTTTACCTGCGAAGAACTAGTTGGACGTGAAGGAAAGGTATGGTTATACAAACCAAACTTGAGTGTTTTGAGAGAAAAGGTTCAGCTTCCAGTTGGATCATGTGAGCTTGCACTTCCTATGAGAGGCAGAGGTGTGCTATACTCAATTTCCATCTTGCACAATATTGCATTATCATGTTTGTCATTTTTTTGTTTGTCGTAAAACTAAAACAGAATGAATTGAAATACAGAACTGGCTTACAATGGAAATGCTCCAAGAGAAGCATATGCGACAATTCTGCATTCAGCCCATGTTTATGTTTGCGGAGCCATAGCTGCAGCCCAAAGCATCCGAATGTCAGGATCAACTAGAGACCTTGTAATACTTGTTGACGAGACAATCAGTGGATATCACAGAAGTGGGTTGGAAGCAGCAGGGTGGAAGGTCAGAACAATACAGAGAATCAGAAATCCAAAAGCTGAAAAAGATGCTTACAATGAATGGAACTACAGCAAATTCAGGTTATGGCAGTTGACAGATTACGACAAGATAATATTCATCGATGCAGATTTACTTATACTCAGAAACATAGATTTTCTATTTGGGATGCCGGAAATCACTGCTATCGGTAACAACGCCACTCTGTTTAACTCGGGTGTCATGGTGGTTGAGCCATCGAACTGCACATTTCAGCTTCTGATGGATCATATAAATGAGATTGAGTCTTACAATGGAGGGGACCAAGGGTATTTGAATGAAATCTTTACATGGTGGCACAGGATACCAAGACACATGAACTTCTTGAAGCATTTCTGGATTGGCGACGAGGAAGAGAAGAAGCAAATGAAAACCATGTTGTTTGGTGCTGAGCCACCAGTTCTCTATGTGCTTCACTATCTAGGTTTGAAGCCATGGTTATGCTTCAGGGACTATGATTGTAACTGGAATGCTGATATATTTCATGAGTTTGCGAGTGATGTTGCGCACGCAAAGTGGTGGAAGGTGCATGATGCAATGCCCGAGCTTTTACAACAGTTTTGTCTGTTGCAGTCAAAGCAGAAGGCACAGTTGGAGTGGGATCGGAGACAAGCTGAAATAGCAAACTACACAGACGGGCATTGGCGAATCAAAGTTAAAGATCGACGCTTGAAGAAGTGTATAGATAATCTGTGTAACTGGAAAAGCATGTTGCGGCATTGGGGAGAGAGTAACTGGACAGATGATGAGTCTTTTACTCCAACACCTCCCACAGTTACGACATCATCTCTTCCTGCATTATGAACTGCCAGATTCATTTTTTTCTTTCCTTGCCTGCCATACGTTTCATAACAAACAACGACAACAAACAAAATTTATCCCACTAGTTGGGATCGGTGTTAGACAAAAGGGATAATTGAAGAAAATTCCTTTGTATGCATTTTTTATGCTTAAAAATGGTTTATTCTACTTGCTCTGATCTTATGAAAACAGATTCAGCAGCAATTCAATTTTTGTAGTTTTTCCCCAAATGAAGTAATAATGTATGACTCTCTTTCTGGTGTGTGGGTACAAAAGAGAAATAATGTAATATACGACATCGTACAGCAGCCATAAACTAGACAGGGACACAATTCTGAATTAAGATATACTTGAAAAGTATGTCACTGGTGTTTTGAAATTCATAAGTTGCGAGGGGGGAAAAGTCAAGGATAACACTAATAAATAAAGGGAGAACATATGTATTATGTAGAATTATTTTCAAACTATTACTGCCGATTTTATTTCATCAATTTAATTTAATCATGCAGCTTAGTTGGCCATGAATGAAACGAAACTATTAAGGTTTTTGGGATTTGACTTAAAATTTGAATGCAAATACAAGCAAAATATCAAAACTTAAACTTTGATTCGATTTCTTTTTCAAAGAAAATGGCTATGATAAAATTTTCCCACCAGATACTAGAGTCATGGTTAAAACGTTTGTGTTGTCCTTGCTACAGCTCTAGAATTTGAAAAGAAACAAAGACTATAAAAGTTGCCATAATGGATTTTACTTCCATATCCTCTTTGTATAGTTACATCGGATGGAAAGCTTTGGAATTAAATTTACTAATTTTACATGATCAGATCATCATTCTATACCACAGCCATCACATCATACAAAGAGAATATGCGGGGACAGAGGGTGTACCTAATAAAAATGAGTAGGATCAACCCAAAAGTGTATCTACCAGCAAAACTGATGCAAGATTTGGAATTCCATCCTCTCCATGGCTTTATTGAAATCCTCCTTGTATCAGCAGTTTGCCAAGTAGATGTGGAAAAGAATATGAAAGACTCCCCATTTACCGATACTTCCTATTCATAATCATAGCTCAACCATAACTTACTCCCATCCCATGATTAGCTAATAACTGATCCGGCTATCCCAATCATCTCCTTGAATGAAACCCTGCACTGAATACGTGTACACATGTTCAGCAGGAACCTGGCTACTCCAGGACACTCTCTTAGTCAAATTAGAACCAGGTCCAGAGTTGTCGATTTCCCCATAGTAGAGTGTATTCAGTGCAAAATCTCCACTCCATGGCATCCAACCCTGTGGTGTAATTATGGCTTCCATGAATGAATTAATAAAAAGTGTTCTAGAATACTCCTTCCATGGCCTTCCGAGATAGTTCTTGTGTACTTTCGGCTTGTCATAATACAACTCCATATATTTTTCGGTACCATTAATCAAGCAATTGTGGAAAACAAAACCTGTCGACTGAGCAGGGTCTGTTCTGCCATGTGCAGTAATGGCATTGTTCTCCCCTTTCTTTGGCCTCGCTTGCCTAGGCTGGACTAGGATTTCACAGTCTTGGAAGAATGAAGCTGAGTTTCCAAAGATGAAGTCCACATTACCTATGATACGGCAAGATTTATAAAACTGACGGAGGGAATGAGCATAGAGAGTATCTTGATTGCCTATGAATTCACAATTCTCAATAACAGAAAGATCACTGTCCGATCTAAATGCTACTGCTTGGTGTGCATTTGCACCTGCTGTGTTTTGGATTGTGAGATCCTTGGCCATGAATCCATCCCCAACAACCCCTACAAAGTTTAATCAATCAAGTCATTAAGAATATAAGAATGTTATATGCAAAGTCGTTCTGTCAAGGAATTTTAATGATATTTTCTATGAAACACGGACATAGACACCAGACACACCTCGAATCTTGCATTTCAAGTAATCTTTGCACGGCGTAAATAAACAAACTTACCTACGGTGGCAGAGTCATATGTTGTCATCCCCATTTGTAGTCCGACACTTGCAGAGCCAGTGATGACAGTCTTACCAATGCCATCCCCTAAAAACACAAGATTCCTCTTCCTTAACGGAATCCTAACCGTCTCTTCATAAACCCCTTTCTTTATATGTATCACAAATCTCCTCCCTCCACCAATGTCCATATTATCAGGTGCCGCATCAACTGCTTCCTGAACCGTCCCGTAACATCCATTACCAGTGTCCTTACAAACCTTAACATCCGGCTTAAGATTGGTGGGCACTGAGGGTCCCTGGCCGAACACAGCCGACCCGGAATCCTCCCAAAAACCGTCGCGCTCAGTGCGAGGCGGCCTCCAGGAATCAGTATCATTACCAAAGAGATGATAAGAGAGAATCATGCTAAGAGCATTGCTGGAGAGGGCGGTAAGAGATTCAAGAAACGACATCGTTTTAAAAACCAAGGAAGTGTCGTTGGCGTATTTAAGGCCAGACCAACAGTTATACTGATAAGACAATGCAGCAGTCATAAAGGCACGTGCGTCCTTGATTCTGCCACGCGAGAGCGCGTCAACGGCAAGAGAGATACGATAATGAGAGTATTGGAAGACCTGGAGGCAGCTTTTGGCGACATTAACGCGGGTTTGGTTGCCTGCGGAAGCGTCTAGGATGGAAGTGAGCATTGAATTAGCGACGTTGAGGTTAATGGAAGAAAGGGAGATTGCGGAATGGATGATGTGGAGGGGGTCAGGGTTAGCGGGAAGGTTGTAGTGAGAAAGTGAGGAGAGGGAGGTTTGGCATTGGAGAGGGAAGCGTGTTGCTTGGCAGGCTAGTTGGATGATGCGGAGATTGGTGGAGGAGTGAGATTGGGAGAAAGAGAGACAGAGGAAGAGGAAGAGGAATGACAGGGTTGCCATGGAGAGGAGGAAGAGGGTGGATGTGAAGATTGGAATGTGGACTTGTTTAATGGGTTTTCTGAGATGGGTGTTGCTCATGGTAGGTTGGGATTAATTCAAGGGGGTGTTGATCTGATTCAGTTATTCTTGCCAGTTAGCTTCCAAAATTGGGGTGTTTCTTGTTCGTGTAGCTGTAAAAATTACGATGCATTGATGAACCAAGAGGCGCTGAATGTGACTATAATTGTTTGTTACAGTAGAATGGAGATTCATTGCTGGATCTGATTCAAATCAGACTAATTTGTCTTTTTTTTTTTTTTTTTTTTTTTTGTGATTGCATAAAGTGAAAAGTTAAAAAAGTGAAAATGATTGTTAAATGAGGCCACGTAAGTGTTTTCTTTACACGACGGTGTCGGCTGAATGTACGATCATAAATCTCCCTCCCTTTTCACGCTCTAGATCTGTTTTTCAGTTAGTTGGATTATTATATACATAAATCATGTAGCTTTTTTTTTTTAATCAAAATAGGTGATCTATTTTACTAATGAGTATAATAGAGATGCATTGTGTTGTAAATTATTAATATTTAATAATAATTAATTATCAGGGGTGTCTTTCAAAATGCAATCTTTAAGAACCGTTGTAATAGGAGAAATAGTGTAGCGTTTCAAAAGTATTGATGTAAGCGAAATAACATTTAATAAAAATGTTATTGAAAATGTGTTTAATTAAGGATCGTAACTTTAAAAAATAATACCAGTTTGATCGATAAATTGAATATTTCAGATTTCAAAAAAACATTATAATAAAATACATTCTTCTCATTGAAAATTTTAGACACTCTTTGCTATTTTGAGTTCTCATCGCTCTTGTGTAAATTCGATAAAAAATTAAATTATCTTAGACATTCTTGCGTAAAAAACCTAAGACAATTTAAGACTGTTTAAAATATTATAAGAAAACTAATTCGTTCACTATTCAAACAACGATTCATTCGATTTTCCAACACATAAATAATATAAAAAAGTTTCCTCTTCACTATTTTACTAAAATTTACTAATTTGAATATATGTCATACAAATAATTTAAAATTTTTAATTTAATTTAACGAAATACATGATCGTAATTGATTATCAATATAAAATTATTTTAGCACAACACATCACTCATTTTCTCTTCACTACTTTACTAAGATTTAAAATAAAATAACATTTTTGCTAAAGTATCACTATTATATATTAGTGTCTTCAGAATTTATCATAAATATAAAAGTTGAAAATATTGAGAAAATTATATAAATATTAATTTAAAAATATAATTAAAAACTAAGTAACGTTAGATTGAAAATTAAAATGGATTAATATCTTTATACAATTAGATATATTATTTTAAGGTATAGATAATTACAATTTTTATGAAAAAATCATATGTGAAAGAGAAATAATGATTTTATACATAAATTTTTTTAAATTATGCAATAAATATATTATGATCAATTACACTATTTGATAAATAATAAATATTATATTGTGTAATAAATAGTTAAACATTCATTGAACATGATTTTGTCTAGAATAAGAGATATCACTGTGAACTTTAAATCTAGTATCACAATTTTCACTCATTATGTATATAGGAAGGTGTACTTAAAGATACGTTGAAGTTAAAGTAAGATACGATCCAAGTTGGATTTGTGATTATGATAATCATACATGAGCTGAACCACTCAGTGTGCTCTTGGCGGTTGTTCTTCTCCTCATTTCACAATTGATGTCATGTAAGAGTTAAGTTCATGTGCTTGGGTGTTTGATGGTCGAGACGGGCGAAAGCATGACTTTGATTCAAACGAGTTCTTTGATATGTGAATCAGTGGAGATATGTTCCAAAATCTATGTCCTTTGAAATGCTTCTTGATTGTATCTGATTAGAATGGATCGTCAAAATCTACGAGTTGTGAGTTGAGTAGTAGTTGAAGGTGAAGCGGGGGGTACCTGCAAGATACTCCGATGTCAAAGTAAAATTCAGAGTAGTGCGAACAAGTATGAGAATGAGTATGAAAGAATGAATACCTGACTCTCTCAAGTGAGAGGGTAGTTATAGTCTCCAGCGCTGGGCCAAGATCTCCATCGCTGGGTTTGGCAAGCAGGCCCAAAATGGAGACTGTCAGGTCGTACGTGTGTAGTGGGGCCAACACGTGGTCCCCAACTCGGATGAACTTCCCCGAATAGTCAGGAGGATATGGATGCGGTCTTTTCGGGACCAAGAGGACTCCGTGATATTCGGGGGTGTTGAGAGTCAACCTTACGAGGAGGATGTTCGCAATGTCTTTCTGTCTGTCGTGGGCCCTCCCCTCCATCTGTGAGGTCGTCTGGGAGGGCTTGTCTTGGTCGATGAGAAGAGTGGAGGATGCTCGCGAGGTCCTCCTGACCAGCGACGAGTCTCCTCACGATTCCTAAATTTATCCCCGTACGACAAAGCCGCGTTTTCCCGAAGGGTGAGGTTGCTGCCCAACATAGTTGAGGACAGGCTCGGTCAGCAGGCCTCATCGAGCAGCATAGTTGGATTGGGCCTTGTATGAATTTGGGCCAAGTGTAGGCCCAGTCCATAACAGGAGCCCTCCAAGTCATTGCTCCTGGTGAAGGAGTCATGACTTAAATCAGACTTCTCCTTATGGCGAGCATAATTTCACCGGGGATCTTTTACCGCGTCGAGAGAGAGGGTCGTTAGGATGCGCGATTACTCGAGCAGAGGTTTGGATTGGCTCGATGAGGAACATTTCAGTTATTCCTCGACTCGCGGGGAGAGCAAATCTCGCAGGGTGTGGGCATGTGGCGTGACCTTTGGGATAGTAATGATGGCCTAAGGAGTATGGGTCCTTATTACCTGAGCGCGTAAGCGGCGAGGAGAAGGCGCGGTCATGGGCTGCCCGACGCGACGCTTCGTATTCCACGTCAGCCCTATATATAGCGCTTTAGGGCCCATTTCCCACATTTCAAGTTTTCGCTCTCTCCACTTTCTCTGTCTTTTCACCGTCAATGCCGACGTAAGATCCGCCGCGGATTCTCCACCTACCCTGATCAAGTAAGTGTTTTCCGTACTGAACGTTGTTTACATTTGGTTTTATTGATGATTCTGTTATACCCCAAAATTTGCCCTCCCATATTCCTCAAGAAATTGCCAAGCCAAGTCACAAAATTCCCCAAGGGTTGTGCAGTGCAACAGTCTCCCATACAGTCAAAATTAGGGTTTTGAGTCTGATCAAGAAAAGGAAGTTTTCAAGGGCTCAATCAAGTCTCATATGCTTATAAACATGGTCAAGCATCCTCATATCAAGTTTCAAGGCATTCAGCTCAAGATTGCACAGTCAAAACCCTAAATTGCACTACAGTCAACTGTAGGGGCAAAATGGTCATTTGACAGTCAAAAGTTCAAATTTTTGGTCAACATATCATTTTGAAGCCACAAACATCATTTGATCAATGCTTGATCATGATTCTCAAAATTTGGCTCAGAAATCATCAAAGATGCAAAAGTTGCTATATTTGGACAGCTGAAAAAGTCAACTGAAATTGACCAGGGCATAACTTTCACATGGATTATCAGAAAAATCCCATCCAAAGCTCATTTTGAAGAGAAAGACATTTCCTACAACTCATCTTCATACTTCAAGTCCAAGAAATGCTCTCACAAAAAGTTATCAATTTCAACATTACAGGTCATTTTCAAAAGTCAACAAAAGGGGACTTTAAGTCAAAGGCCATAACTTGAGATTGGTAAATCAAAATGACATGGGACCAAAGGCATTGGTTAAAGGACTCAAAGACCTTTCCAAAATGTCCAAGAACATGTGAAAAGCTTAAAAATTGAGCAAGTTATGCCTTGTAGAAGTTGGGAAATTTTTGTGAAATGGCAAAAGTCAACTATCCTTGAAAATCCAATTTTTGACAAAAGGGCCCCATTTTTTCCACTTGGTTCATCCTTGTCATGCCACACACGTGTCCCATGGTTAATTTCAAGACCAAATATTGATTTTTTTATTTTATTTAATTTCTGATGATTTAATTCATTTTAATTCTTTGAAAATTCAAATAAAATTGAAAAAACCAATGGAATAGTGTCATGTGAACTTGGACAATTTCTATGTATCATGAACCAACTCAAGAAATCAGGCTAGGGTTCATTTGCACACTAGGTCTAGGTTTTGGCTAAAAAGGAGGAAAAATGGTTAAGAGTGAAAACCCTAAGACTAATTCCTTCACAAGCATGAATTAAGGCAAAAGAGCAAGCCAATTCCATTCCATGATCATCACTGAGTCAAACCCTAACCATAAGGGACCATATGCTGCGCTGAAGAGCCATTGGACAATTTGAAAATTTAGCCATATAAGCCAAATCTGATTTCAAAGTTAGAGGATCTTTCAAGCCTTAATTCTTTTTCCATTAGCATCCTTAGGCATTCCTGAAGGCACTCTAATCACAAACAACAACAAAAGCGTAAGGAATTGGTGGATCATACTCAAACTGTACAGAAATTCTTTTGAAATCGTGTTCTCAATTCTAAGCATGATCATTGCATTTTAATTGTAGATTCTTATTCCTTGCAAAGTTTCAAAGCTAACCATAACTGTTAATTGAATTTTCGTGCACTTTTGGCCAAGTTACCATGTTTGGTTTTTAGGGTTTCCAGCTTTTTGAATTGGGGCTTTTACAACGAAGCAAAATTAGGATTCCAAACTGTGACCATTGGATTAAGCAAGTTGAGACGAAGAATAAACACTACTCGCGCCCAATTTATTGGTCTTCTAATGTTAATCGCTATTTTCCTAAAGGTTACTTCAGACCACGCATGAAAAACCGTGGCCAATGTGTTTTGTTTTTACAGGGATGAAGATGATGATGGCGTGTCATCCAGGGACAGGCCAGTTCAAATCTCGCGCGCAGTTCAAATAGCACTAACCTTTTTATTTTATATTGTTTATTGACTATTATATATTAATTGAAATCAAAGTGGCTCAGCTGGCAGGGACGTACGCTAGGGACTCTCATGACCTGGGTTCAAACCCCAGGTCTCACACATTTCTCATATTATTTTTCCACTT